TCCTAAGGCTCGCTGGAGCTTCAGGGGGCGTGCTGGAGCTTCCCAGAAGCTCCTGGAGGCTCGCTGGGGCTCCCCCTTGTTGTACTGAAACCAGCGCCTCGCCTGAGACATCCTCACGACCCGCTCTTAAAGCAGACGGGTCTGAGCACGCAAACAGGCAAACCGCCTGAAGCATTCCCACAAGATGTTCGCGAACGGGCCCATGCAAACACCATGGCGGCTCCCCACTGGGGGTGCTGAAATCAGCGACTCGCTCGAGACAATATCATTACAATCTGCTATAAAAGCACACGAGTCTAAGCACGCAAACAGGCAGACCGCGTGAGACATCCCCACGATCTGGGCGCGAACGGGCCCATGCAAACACCCTGGCGGCCTCCCCTTCGGGGTGCTGAAACCAGCGCCTCGCCTGAGACATCCTCACAACCTGCTATGAAAGCAGACGAGTCTGAGCACGCAAACAGGCAACCCGCCTGAAGCATTCACACAATCTGGGCGCGACGGGCCCGTGCAAACACCCAGGCGGCTCCCCCCATTGGGGGTGCTGAAACCAGCGCATCGCTCGAAACATCCTTGCACTCTGCGAGTCTGAGTGTGAGTGAGTCTGAGTATGAGTGAGCATGCGGGTGAGTGACAGTGACTACGAGTGAGCCTGAATGCTGATGAAAATGAATCTGACTGTGAATCAATATGTGAGCGAGTCTGAGTGTGAGCGAATCTGAGATGAGTGACTCTTAGTGTGAGTGAGTCTCAATATGAGTGAGTACGACGGTGAGCGTGTGAGTGCGAGTGAGTGTAAATTACGAGTGAATCTGAGTGTGAGTGAGTTTGAAAGTGAGTGTCTGAAGAAGAAAACGCAAGGAAGAGGAGGAGGAGGGGGAGGGAGTGAGGCAGTCGGCGGAGTCTAACAACAAAAACCCCATTTCAGGATACGGGACAAACAAACACAAACTTCCAAAGGACCGCGCGGGCTTTTTGGATCGGCGAGAACCCCCACGGCGGTGTCTCTGGCGCCGCCCCTGGTGAGCTCCGCGCGCCAGGGAGGGCGGGTCCAGCGCCGATCCAGGGGACCTCCGAACACGTATGCTTACGCATTGAGTAGGGCTGGGGGGTCAGGTCTGCAAAACACCCCAAACGGCCGTCAAGGGGCGCAATCAACATGTTCGGTCAAGCTGAAACTGATGCGCCACACCAGGCAACAAGCTCAAAACTTGGACATACGCAAACGGTTAGGTTTTGCTCTCCTTCGCTGGCTCAACCGGCGAGGCGTTTGACCACCCTGACGTCTTTTTGTTGGTGCTCCTGCAGAGGAAGGCGCTCTCTGACTCTCGGCCCTACTCAATGAGTATCGTTTAACCGATCCCCATCCCCAGCGGATTGGCCTGGCCCACACTGACCGGTTTACTCCCCTAGATGGGGATATAGGCCGTTCCCTTCGGGTTTCGAGGGATATATCCCCAACTGGGGTGGTGATTTGGTGGGGGTCTCGAAGGGGATGGGGATGGGGATGGGGATTGGTTAAACGATATCGACTCGAGTGAGCGTTCTTTCTCCTCGGCGTTTCGACGTTGGGCGACATGGGATGGGGAAGGGGGTCTGGCTCCGGACCTCTGCTTAGCGCGACTGCTTGAGACAGTGCGTCCTGTGTGGGGGGGGGGGCCACACCTGCTCGAAGCAGGCGCCACAAAAAAACAGCCAGGACCTACTCCATGGGGGGGAGGAGGGAGGGGTGCGAGGGAGGGCCCACGCCGATCGGCAAAACAATAAATAAAAAAACGACTATGTGTTCCTTCGGGCCACGCGAGAGGACAGTGGATCGAGCTCAGAGGAAGAGGGATGGGAGGTCAGCGTGCAGCAGCCTGCCTGCCCCCTCCGGCCCTGCCGCGGCGCTGCAACTCCCGCGCGCTCGCACCGCGTGCTGCGATCAGCTGCCCAACCCCAGGATGGGAGAGGGAGGAGGGAGAGAGGCCTCGTGCTCATGCCCCTCCTCCTCCTCCGCCTTCTCCTCCTTCTCCTCCTCCTCCTCCTCCTCCTCCTCCTCCTCCTCCTCCTCCTCCTCCTCCTCCTCCTCCTCCTCCTCCTCCTCCTCCTCCTCCTCCTACCCACAATCATCTTCCTCGTCCTCCTCCTCCTCCTCCTCCTCGCTCATCCTGCCCCCTCCCCGCCAGCCCAGCCTGTTCGGATCGGAGCCCACCACCAGGGGGGGTGAAGGACGAGGAGGAAAGAGAGAGGCACGAGGACGGGGGGAGAGGGGCGGGGGCAAGCGAGGGAGAGGATCAGACCAGAACCCGTGAGATCCGAACGCATGAGTGGCCCTACATCTGAGAGGCTACGCAGAACTGGAGACATAGCGCAGTCGTCATGATCGCGCCAGCTCTGCTGTGGAGGATCACCTCTGGCCCTGCTGGGGTCTTTCAATACGGAGATGGGGACGGCGAGGTGCAAGGGAAGGGGCCCAACGGGGCTCCTCCATGTCTCCGCCCATGCCAAGCACGAGGTCCTGGTCAGCGGAGGGGTGCGCCGAGCTGGACTCACCATCCGGGTGTGCCCTCCGCCTCCTCCCGCTCTCCGCTGCCCTCCCCCCCTCTTAGGCGCGCTCGCACACCCAGCCGCCACAGCACGGGGCCGCCCATCGGCTAGAACTCCTCTCCATCCTCCTCCTCCTCCTCCTCCTCCTCCTCCTCCTCCTCCACCTCCTCCCTCCTCCTCCTCCTCCTCCGCCTCCTCCTTTTCTTCGTCCACCTCCTCCTACTCTCCTACTCCTCCTCTCACACCTCCTCCTCCCCCCCTCCTCCTCCTCCCTCCTCCTCCCTCCTCCTCCTCCTCCTCCTCCTCCTCCTCCTCCTCCTCCTCCTCCTCCTCTCCTCTTCCACCTCCTCCTCCTCCTCCTCCTCCTCCTCCTCCTCCTCCTCATCCATCATCATCATCATCATCATCATCATCATCTCATCAGCAGCAGCAGCAGCACAGCAACATCATCATCATCATCATCATAATCATCATCATCATCATCATCATCCTCATCCTCATCCTCATCCTCATCCTCCTCATCCTCATCCTCATCCTCATCATCATCATCATCATCATCATCATCATCATCATCATCATCATCATCATCATCATCATCATCATCATCATCATCATCAGCATCATCATCATCATCATCATCATCATCATCATCATCATCATCATCATCATCATCATCATCATCATCATCATCATCATCATCATCATCATCATCATCATCATCATCATCATCATCATCATCATCATCATCATCATCATCATCATCATCCCCTCCTCCTCCTCCTCCTCCTCCTCCTCCTCCTCCTCCTCTTCCTCCTCCTCCTCCTCATCCCCCTCCTGGCCCTCCTCCTGCTCCTGCTCCTGCTCCTGCTCCTCCTCCTCCTCCTCCTCCTCCTCGTCCTCCCTCCCCTCCCTCTCCTCCCTCTCCTCCCTCTCATCCCTCTCAGCCCTCTCCTCCCTCTCCTCCCTCTCCGCCCTATCCTCCCTCTCATCCTCCTCCTCCTCCTCCTCCTCCTCCTCCTTCTCCGTTCCTTCTCGATATAAATAATTCCTCCCTGTCGCACCCCGACACTAGTTAGGCTGGGCGTTTCGCCTGAGGCTTCATCACCATGTATGGCTCTGAAGCTTAAAAACTGACGACAGGTTCACAGATGAAGGGCGGGTCGCTTTCAAAATGCGGTTCTCGTCTTAGCGACGTGCACATTCGTCGCAACCATTTACAAGGGGTCCAAGGATTAAGGGCGGGTCGTTTTCAAAATGTGGTTCTCGCCTTAGCGCCGCGCACGTTCGTCTTAAGTGTTTGCAAGAGCGTCACGGTTGAGGGCGGGTCGTTTTCAAAATGTGGCTCTCGCCTTAGCGCTGCGCACACTCGTCAAAGGGTTTCACGGAATGAGGGCGGGTCGTATTCAAAATGTGGTTATCGCCTTAGCGCCGCGCACATTCGTCTTAAAAAAACAAGAGTTTCACAGGTTGAGGGCGGGTGGTTTTCAAAATGTGGCTCTCGCCTTAGCGCCGCGAACATTCGTCGTAAACATGTGCAAGAGTTTTACGGATTGAGCGGTTCCTTTTCAACATGTGCTTCTCACCTTAGCACCGCGCACATTCGTCTTAAACAATTGCAAGAATTCCACGGATTCCCATGGTCAACGCACCACAACTGGTGTGTCGGAAAGATGCAGGATTATGCGGGCGCAACAGCTATGTTGATTCGGTGTGTTGACGTCCAAAAAAATTGCGTTCTGACATGATTCTGGATCGTCATGACACACCAGTCATGTTGATACGTGACGTTGAAATCCCGAGAACCATGTTTTGGCACGCTTCGAAATCTTAAAACGGCTGTCTTCCAACGAGGCACGTTCCTCAATGGAAATGAATCGTTGCAGGGGCCTACGTATGAGAGGGAGGGGGGTTGAAAGAAGAGTTAATTCCAACATCGTTAATGACTCTTGGGTTTCCCCATGGTCCCCTCCTCCTCCTCCTCCTCCTCTTCCTCCTTACTCCTCCTACTCCTCCTCCCCCTCCCCATCCTCCTCCTCTTCCTCCTCTTCCTCCTCCTCCTCCTCCTCCTCCTCTTCCTTCTCCGCCTCCGCCTCCGCCTCCGCCTCCTCCTCCGCATCCGCCTCCGCCCCCGCCTCCTCCGCCTTCCCCTCCTCCTCTTCTTCCTCCCCTTCCTCCTCCTCCTCCTCCTCCTTCTCTTCCTCCTCCTCCTCATTTTACTCCTCCTCCCCCTCCTCCTCCTCTCCTCCTCCTCCTCCTCCTCCTCCTCCTCCTCCCGTTCTCTGTCATCTCACCCCCTCCCCCTTCCGTCATCGAGTCCAATCGAGTGGACGAACCAACGGGGAGGGCGAGAAAGCATGAGTTCCCGTCCCCATGGGGGGCGGCGGCGGCCGCGGCGACAGCAGCCATGGCAGTCACGGCGGTGATGACGGTGGTGCGAATGGCAGTGGCAGTGCGAAGGTCCCAGACAGACAACTGCGCGCAGCACGCTGTCATGAGTGATACACATGGTGGCGACGGTAGTGGTGATGCGGCGGTACGTAGAATTTACGAGCGAATGATTGGTCCACTCACAGCATTCCTCTTTCATTCGTGGAGGCGCGCAAACTCGCGCACAATTTCAAGTGAGGATCGGGATAGGCATACGGGTAGGGATAGGGATATAGGGCATAAGGATGGGATAGCGATACGGATTGGGGTGGCGATGGGGATGGGGCTAGGGATGCAGGATACGGATAAGGTTGAGATGATGGGGATAAGGATAGAAGGATAGGGCAGGCATATGGGATCTAGGATGAGGTTAATGCACCAACGGGATACAATGGGAGACAACGAAAGGCAAAAGGAGACATCGGGAAACAACGGGAGGCCGCGGGACACAGTGGGAGTCAACGTCGCCCCACCGATTCTGGATCCGCAAGTCCACCTACTAGTTCTTACAAAACGAAAATAGAACCCTTACAGGGAAGCTGTTCCGAGAATGTTGCCTGGGCAAGAACCCCACCTCTGCAGATGAGGGATGGTCTGGAGAGCAGGAGCTACATGTGCGGCACTGCTCTTCTTGGGCATGGGCGGTAAGAGAAGCGTCGCATCCCCTGAAGGTATAGCTCAGCACGGGGCGTTGACCCCTGCGGTCATTGAGGGGGTGGGGCAAACAAAGGATCTCCACGTTTTTGTCCATCTCATGCGTTGACGCACGTCGATGCACATATGCGTCATGCGACGGGGCCCGAAAGCAAAGGAAGAGATCAGGCCGCAACCGGCGGGAGAGACCGACAGAGCGCCCACGCAGGCAGCAAGCGAAAGGACCTCCAGGCGCGACTCGCAGTGGAGTTCGCGCCGCACCACACTGCCACGGCGGCCAATGTGGAGCACGGGGGGAAGGGGAGCAACAAGAATCACTGCAAAAAATGTTCGCGGCGTCGCGATGCGCCGCGGCATCAACCGCCGCCTGGGCTGCGCAGGTATCCCGCGCAGAATTAACTATCACCCTACGCACAACGACAAAATTTCGACAGTACACCGACAGAAACGAACGGAAGAGTCGCCATCCGGCCTGGAGGCGCGCCATCCTCTCCGCCCTTCCTCGGACATTCCGGGCATATTGCATACTTGTTCGCTTTCGCCCAGACAGCATGACTCCCGACCCTCCCGTCTTGTTAGGCCACCATGACATCTCAGCTACACTGCGCGTTTCATTGCCATCCCCGCCGCCAACCCATCCTGTTCCCACCGTAACTGTTGCGACGCCTGTTCCATCTTGCTGTTGCTCGGCGACTGATTGCTGTCAGCCGGCGTTGTTGGCGCGGTTGCTGTCGCCGCTCTTGCGTCGCTTGGCGACGCGCGCTCTGTCGGCGCATGTCTGGCCCCTCCTCTTCCACGAAGCAAATGCCGATCAGGGCCGCCGTCAGTCCGGGACAAGATCAGCCGAGCGCCGCGCGCCCCCTGGGGCGAGCCAAACCGCAAGAGAATGACTGAATGGGGGGCGGGAAAGAAGGCGCCGCGCAAGATGGGCGCCACGGGCAGGCGTAAAGGGGCACGGCTCAGGCCCCCACGAAAACGCGCTGCACCGAGTCGCCAGCAACGGGCCGGTCAGCAGGAGCAGCCGCGGGGGGCGGGCCAAGAAAGACAAACGCCGACGAGCAGGGGGCGCGCGGCGCGGTCGAGAGAGGCGCGGGCAGCGACCGCACCGTCACCGCAGGGGCAATGGCCGCACGAAGCAAAAGAAATCGCCATGAAAATGGCGGCCAGGGGGCGCGCGCGGCGCCAGCAACAGCCCGGGATGGCGAAGCCTGAAAAACAGGTTTGCGGGGGGGGGGGCGGCGCATGAACGCCCGCTCTGGCCGGGGCGCCACGCCGAGCCCGAAGGCGGGGGAAACGGGGAAAACGCGGGGGAAGGCCAGCGAACGATGCCACAATCGAAAGCCAGGAAACGTTCCTTGCAAAGCAGCGCCGTCGACTGCTGACTGCCAAAAACTGCGCGCGCGCATCCTGCGCCAGCGACGCGCCACGATAGTCGCAACCCACACTGCGCATGAACAGCGACAGTTGGGACTGTGCCTTGAAGGCCGCGCTCCAACATGCGAGCGGACTAAAGCATGGGCACGCACAAACTAACACCACGCACGCGCCAGCACGCACACACACACACACACACCTATACACACACACACACACACACACACACATACACACACACACACACACACACACGCACACACACGCACGCACGCACGCACGCACGCACGCACTCACGCTTTGCGTGCCCGGACAAAACACGTGGGCGACACACACCCGGGTGCCCAAGGTGCCTGCATGAATTCACACGCACTCGGACCTCGCAACACGAACGGCGGCACGGACCCGCCCCAGGCGTTATCTGCGCCGCCGTTGCGAGGTGCCTCGAGATGCCACCCCGAGGCACGGCCACCGGCACCACCCCCACTTGGCCGCCGGCCTCAAGCAGCGGAGGCC